AGAGCGCCGATGAGAGTAGCTGATGCTGCGAGGATCCAAATTCAAGCCTTTCCCTGCCGGAATTTGACCTACGTTCGACTTATCGACAACAAAAACTAGAAGGGAAAGCATGAAGGTGGATGTGACTAGGGTTGGCAAGTGGCGGTAACGTGGGCCTTTCAATTCACTTCTGATCATCGATTGGCTAGAACGAGGAATGGAGCCCACTCTTTCCGCCACAGAGCCTTCTGAGGTCATTCCTGATGTAATTTGAGAGGATGGTCTTCTCTCCATGAGTTCTAGTTTGCGACAAGCACGCAATACCAGGGTGAGCACACGGACCTATGCGATGCACTCACGCACACCCATGCACACCCATGCACACCCATGCACACCCATGCACACACACAATCTGGTTCACCCACCTGTGCTCGCCCTTGTTGTACAGGTGTGCATGCAGCTCCTCTATCACGCGGTTGAACAGCAGCAGCTTGGCACAGATGCACACGTGCATGATGCATGCTTACCCACACATACATGCACATGCGTGTATGCATGTATGAACACCCACCTATGCTCGCCCTTGTTGTACAGGTGCGCATGCAGCTCCTCTATCACGCGGTTGAACAGCAGCAGCTTCGTGTTCGCCAGCTCATTGCGAATGTCCCTCAGCGCTCCGATCTGGGCCATCAGGGCGGGGGGGCGCATGGATGGGATGGGGAGAACGAGCAAGGACGCAGGCACAGGATCAGGCAGTGGATGGGACGAATGTGCATGAGAGGAATCGAACAGCAGCAGCTTCGTGTTCGCCAGCTCGTTGCGAATGTCCCTCAGCGCTCCGATCTGTGCGGACAGGGTCGGAGGGCGAGTGGAGGGATGGGGAGAGAGAGCACGGGCACAGGCACGGGCGCAGGCACGGGCACAGGCAGGGCATGGGAAGAACGCCTATGGAAAGAGGAACTGAATGAACAGTAGCAGCTTCGTGTTCGCCAGCTCGTTGCATGGAGTGGAATGCGGGGTGGAGGGAGGGAGGGGCTCTGAGGATAGACTGAAGATGATCCCTGTACGCCATCAGAAGCAAACAAAGGAGTAGAAAGTCCCTGCGCGCATGTTCCCCCCCACCCATGGAGCCACATGCCATGGAGCCACATGCCATGGAACCACATGCCATGGAACCACATGCCATGGAACCACATGCCATGGAACCACATGCCATCAAATGGAACCACATGCCATGGATGGGACCACATGCCATGGATGGGACAGCGGGTGCGGTGCGGGAATGAATGAAGGCAGGTACTTGCCAGAGAGCCTTACCTGGCAAATGTCGAACACCTGGCAAGCATGCCGTCTGTTGTTTTCACCTGGGAGATGCCCTCTCTGTCGAGCGTGGAGATGGACTGCAGGTGAATCTGCACGGCAGCATACAGCTGCCCCTCCGCCACCAGCTGCTCTATGCGCGCTGGCACCTGCACAGGAGTGGACGGGAAGGGGGGTGCGGGAAGGGAAGAAGGGTGTTTGGTAGGGCGGAGACAGGTGAGAATGGGGAATGACTGGCGCCTGCCTTTGTTCCTCACTGTCTCTGCCTGCACGGCAGCATACAGCTGCCCCTTCGCCACCAGCTGTTCTATGCGCGCGGGCACCTGCACAGGAGTGGGAGGGAGCGAATGGATGCAGGGTTGGGGGATGGGGGAAGAGTAGAGTGAGTAGTCAAGTCTGCACGGCAACGTGCAGCTGCCCCTCCAACACCAGCCAGCTGATCCAAAACCCGGTGGCCCGGTGGTTGTGGTCCTGGTCCATGGATGGCATGATGTGGTGACTGAATTGGATATCCTGACCCTGATACGATCAAGGTTCAAAATTACGGTTTTCGTATTTTACGGACTGTTTTATACGGTCCGTATTTTACGGCAATTTTCCAAAAAAACCGGCGTTTTTTTGTTAGAGAAGTGTTGTCACCAAGAAAAAAAAAGGGAAAAACAAGGTCGTATGCCGTTTCAATCATGCCCACAAGCGCACGGATGCAAAGAGGGGTACCTGCAAGCGCACATCAGCCTTTCTTTTCTTCAAACAAAAAACACCTCCTGGAACCGTTTTAAACCGTTTTTTATGGTCGTTTTTAACGGTAAATTTTCAATAATACGGTCGTTTTTTTGAACCTGATCATACGATATGACACGATACACGATGCACTGCATTGCAGAGCCATAAGCGCATGCATCGTTGGAACTAACTAAATGCATTGTGAGCGTGCCTTGGAGACGCTGTCGATCTGGTCGATGAGGGAGATGACGTGGCGCAGCGTGATTGATCGGCACCACAGCTGCTGCAGCTGCTTGTGTCGGTTGCTCAGCAGCCGCCTCGCCTCCGCCAGACTCGCCTTGAGCTCGCTCATCTGCTCCGCTGACTCGCTGAACAGCTTCAGAATCTGCAGGGAGGGGAAGGCGGTGGGGCGGCATGGGGGAACGCTTGTGAGTCTGCTTTTGAGTCGACTCAAAAGAAGACTCGCCTTGAGCTCGCTCATCTGCTCCGCTGACTCGCTGAACAGCTTCAGAATCTGGAAGGGAAAAGGGCGGGGGGGGGGGGGGGGGGGGGGGGGGGGGGGGGTGGGGGGGGGGGGGTGTGGGGGAGGGGGAAGGGGGGGGTTGGAGGAGAGAGACACGTATGGTGCGTGGCGCATGCATGTTTGAATGCGTGATTGATCGGCACCACAGCTGCTGCAGCTGCTTGTGTCGGTTGCTCAGCAGCCGCCTCGCCTCCGCCAGACTCGCCTTGAGCTCGCTCATCTGCTCCGCTGACTCGCTGAACAGCTTCAGAATCTGCAGGGAGGGAGAGAGGGGAGGGGAAAGGGGGGAAAAGGGGGAAGGGAGGAGACGGGAAGGCATGGGGAAAAGGTGCATGGCAGATGGTGTGCATGGGGTCATCATGGGGACATGAGTACAGAGAGCTCATGTAAAGCGGTTTGTATCAGCATGATTTTTACTTCTACCTCATCATCCAGCAAGGTTTCACACGCTGATGAAGCATGACTTCTGATTTACCGAGAACCTAGAGCTTCGAGCATAACAGAATCAGCAGGGTAACGTTACAACAAGTATCTCGCGAAATCAGAGCCATTTTCGTGGCCCTTGCGACGTTCGCTGTTTCCTGACCAACTCAAACGCACAGCCCCCAAACTGAACAGATACACCAGGTTGGAAAACACTGCACTAGCTATTTCTGAGGGTGTGAGGTTGACAATACATTTCCAGCAATGCAATGTGACAGCCAACCTTGCTGACTCACTTTATCAATGTCGAATGAGCATGGTCCGAGAAGTCAACACAAAGCCAGCACGAAGAATTCCGACCAACAGATTCCTCTTGCGTTTCCAGCGTGAATGCCCTCCAACCACCTCGAGCTGCGTGCAGCTTGAGCAGCTGAGGCAGTGGGAAGATCGCAGGCAATACAGGTTGTGTGGTGTCTAGCATGTTGTTGGGGCATGTGTTGTCAGGACTCAGGACATCATGCATTACGTCCCCCAGCAAACACACTCCTCTTCCTCCTAGCTGTTTCACAATCCAGCGCATTCCACACGCTCCACAACTGAGTCTCTCCATGTTTTCTATCAAATTCTTCAGAATTCTGGATAGTCTTAAAAAATAGCGTCTTAGGCTCGACTTGCTGCAGCATTTTCGTGTAAATAACAAAAATAGTCGGGAGCTTGTGATCGTGGACTGCTTGAGAGAACAACCGCGGAGCATCGAAGATGGGTTGCTGCTTTTCTGGCACGAACGGTGAGTTACGATAATTTCGTATTAAAAAAGGTACTCACGCGAGGTGTACGAAGAAATCGGTTCCTTTAAGTGTCCTTGAAAGCTCACTTCTTCTGCTTCAGCTTTTTTTTGCACCCAGCTTCTAGAAGTCCTATCATGATTACTTTCTGAGACTTCTCCCAGAGAAAACAATTTCTACTTGTTCTTTGCGTTCGGTCAGCTTTCTGATGCATTGTTTCACGCGGGAAGAAAAAAAAAAAAAAAAAAAAAAAAAAAAAAAAAAAAAACGCGTTCCTCGTTTAGCAATCGCCATCCCCGTGACGATGAAGGCGGTGGGACACGCGAACTGCATCATGCTTCCGCAGTATGATACCGCGGAATTGTCGATTTCTGAGTGAACTCCAACATTTCGTAGTTTAGCGCAATCGCCATCCCCGTGGCGATGAAAGGCGGTGGGTGCGGTACGCTCAGGATAGATACGGAATTCGCCTTGAAGGAACCCGCGCACTCCACTATCCCCCGGATCAACCCTACCCCTTTCCCCCTTCCTCTCTCCCCCCGTTCTTCCTCTCCAGCCCCACCCCCCTGTCCCGCCGTTCCCCTTTCCGCCTCTCCTTCCTGGTGCGCGCGCCTGGCGTAGTGATGCGGGCGGTGAGGGTGGACGATACGCTGTACGGTACTCGTGGCAGGACCAATTGTCCCCATCCCCACTCCCCACTCCCACTCTTCCCTTCCAGAAAGCCAAGAACAGAAGCCAGAGAATTTGGTCGATACTCACATATCCGTTTTCCCACCATTTCCCCATTCCCCTCCCATCACCATCCCCTCCCATCCCCTTCCCTTTCCCCTCCCCCTCTAGAGCACCCTCATGACCTGAAACCCGTGCTAATGAAGGCGGTGGGGGCGGAGGGCGCGCTGCCGCGGTACTCGCAGGAGGAGCTGCGGCGGGCGACGGGCGACTGGCGCACCAAGCTGGGGGAAGGCGGCTTTGGTGCCGTCTACAAGGGCATGCTGCTGCTGCCGCGCGGGGGAAATGGGGAAGGTGGGGAAGGCGGGGGAGGGGGCGGGGAAGGGAGCGGGGGAGGGGGCGGGGGAGAAGAAGGGGGAGATGACGTTAAAGGGAGCAATGGATGGGATGGAAAAGGGGACCATTGGGAAGGGGACGGGGGAGGGGGGGACGATCGGAATGAGGAGGTGGAAGGGGGGATGGATGGCTTGGAAGTGGTGGAAGTGGGTGGGAGGGAGTTTGTTCCGGTGGCGGTGAAGATGTGCTTGACTGACGATTTTGAGAGCGGGGCTCGCGAGCAGCTTTTGGTGAGTTACGGCCATGAGAGGGTTATAAATGGCACTGGTTACAAATAAACATGGGTTACAAAAACACTTACTTGGTAAGTCATCAACAACTCCCCATGTAAGTGCTTTTGTAATTCCTCTTATGCTCTCTTCAACGCTCACCCCAACAAAAGTCTAACATCTCCTTCCCTCCCCTCATCCTCTCCTCTCTCTCTCCGCCATTAGACGGAAATCATGTTGATGATGGCCCTGCACCATCCCAGCATTCTTTGCCTGCTGGTAGTGGCCGTCATAAGGATAACCCTTAGACCCCCCTGCCCACTCTGCCCCCGTCCCACCCCTCATCCTCTCCTCCCTCTCTCCCCCTGCAGACAGAAATCGTGGTGATGACAGCCCTGCACCATTGTCCCTTCCCCTTCCCATGACCCTCCCCTCCCTTCCTCTTTTCCGTCACCACTCTCCACTCCTCTTTCTCAGACGGAGATCATGGTGATGACGGCCCTGTGCCATCCCAACGTTCTGCGCCTGCTCGGAGTGGCCGTGATGAAGCAGCAAATCGCCATGGTCTCTGAGTTCGTCCCGGGTGGAGATGTTTCACAGCGAATAAAAAATGGTGGGTGGGGTGGGTGGGAAAGGGGTAGTGCGGTTGAATGGGGTGGGCACTTGGCACCCATGCTGACACGAACCACCGTCCCGGGTGGAGATGTGTCACAGCAAATAAAAAACGGTGCGTGGGGTGGGGAGAGGGGGGGAAGGGAGGGAAAGGAGGGGGAGGAGGAGGGGGTGGGGGGGGAGCAGTGGAATGGGATGGGCACTTGCACACATGCTGGCGCGAACCATCGTCCCGGACGGGCGGAGATTTTTCCCAGCGCCACAAGAGAGATAGTGCGGTGACATCAGGTGCTGTGCGGTGTGATGTGATGCCATGCGATGTGATGGTGTTTTATTTCTCGAACAAAGGCGGGCCTGCGGCGTGGAAGGACGCAGCGTTTTCTGTGATAGTAAAGTGAAGACGCCTAGCAGGTGGGATCAAGTCAAGCCTAGCAGGTGGGGTCAAGCCTAGCAGGTGGGGTCGAGCCTAGGCATATCTCCTTCCGATTGGCCCCTTTTTCCTCCCCTTCTCTCTCCCCTCCCCCCCTCTCTGCTCACAAGCAAGAACTAGAAAGTCTGGTCACAGTAGCATCAGCAAACAGTCGACCTCTTCCTTCTGACAGACTTCCATCAGCACCGACCCTTGGGGCAGAGAAACTCGCATAAAGCTTTCTCGTAAGCCCTTGCATGTTTGCTCTCGTGTGCCTCTCTCCCCTCAACCCCACATCTCGCTCACCCTTTCCATTCCACGCAGCAGGAGAGGCACAGAGCCCTTCCCAAGGAAGGACCAGCTGCGCATAGCGGTGGAAAGTGTGGCGATTCATGCTGCCTGTGTCTCTTCCCACCTGCTTTCTCCCCCCCCATGTGTGCAAGCAGCAGCCAAAGGCATGGAGCCCTTTCCTTGGAAGGTCCGGCTGCGCATTTTGAGGGGAAGCCTTGAGGGGCTGGCAGGCAGCCATTCACAGGGAGGGGTTCCTATTTAAGTCGACTCAAACTCCCCCCCTGCTCCCCCACACTCCCCCTTCTCCCCTGATATGTGCAAGCAGCAGCCAAAGGCATGGAGCCCTTCCCTTGGAAGGACCGGCTGCGCATTGCGAGGGGAAGTCTTGAGGGGCTGGCAGCGATCCACAGGGAGGGATTCATCCACCGCGACTTCAAAGCTGCCAATGTGCTTCTGACGAAGGTGAGTTGCTTCAATGAGCTCCTAATCAAGGTGAGTCACTCCACCCAGCTAGCCAGAACAAAGCACATTCCCTTGTTGTCTCCGACTGACCTCTCCCGCCTGCTATTTCTTCTTGCTTTCAACCCGCATGTCTCCAGACGCTCGTTCCCAAGGTGGCGGATTTCGGATTGGCCAAGACATGCCAGGACAGGACACATGTCACGACGCGTGTGGCTGGGTCGATTGGCTACATGGACCCTGCTTACTTTGAAAGAGGTGAGTCGGTATGTTGTGTGTGTGTTCTGGCCGTGTTGTGGCTCAAGGCACAAGAGAGAGTTGGGCCACTGAGGAGGTGTGTTTTGGCTGGATGGACCGACGAACTTTAAGAGAGAGAGGTGAGCCAGCTTGTTGTGTGTGTTCTGGCCGTGTTGTGGCTCAAGGCACAAGAGAGAGTTGGGCCACTGAGGAGGTGTGTTCAGGCTGTGTTGTGGTGGTTCAGGCACAAGAGAGGGGTAAGCCAATAAGAGGTGTGCTCTGGCTGCATGGGCCGGCGTACTTGAAGAGAGAGAGGTGAGCCGCCGTGTTAACTGTCCCTCTCTGCACAGATTCACAATTACACAGCGTTGGTTACGTATTCTGGCTCCTCTGTTTTTAACACAGGTATGTGCACGGTATTTGGAATCACTCTTGAGAGTTTTCAGAATAGTTATGTGCATGGTAGTACACCCACAGTGCAGTGAACAAGGTTAGCTGTTCGAAACATTGCCTTTCTCGGAATTCTCTTTTATTGAGAGAAGTGAGCTGACTCTTGGCTTGCCTTATTTCGTGCTAAATTTTAAGGTTTGGAATCCAAGAGTCGTTTCCAACTTCCTCTGTCATTGTGTCATTTGCAATTCATGTGCCCCTTCACTCACCCCTTGCAATTTTTACTCCCTCACACTCACCCCACCCCCATACTGCGCTCTCTCATACTCAACCCCCGAGCGCCCTTGCACGCAACCCTTGCATCATCAGAAGCTTCATAGTGACCTTGTTCCGGGATCTAGGATCTATTGAATTCCTAGAAATGACATTCTGCACATGGCTCTTGCAGTCTTCATCCTTGTTCCTTGATCTGCCTCAGAGCAAGAAACAGTCTCACTCTGATCCATCCTGTTCCCAAGTTATGAGACGTCTCAAGCCCCCAATCCGTGTATGCCGGTTGCGCTTCCACCCGTTCTCTGCTTCAGGTTTCTTAACAACGCATTGCGACACGTATGCCTTTGGCATTTTCCTGCTAGAGCTTGTCTCCGGGCGCGGTGTGCTGGATGAGTCGTTTTCAGGACTGAGGGAACTCCTGCAGGATCTAACGTTCAGGGAATACGACGAGTTGATTGACAGGAATCTGGAGGGGCAATGGACGGAGGAGCAAGCGGAGGTTCTGGTGGGCATGATGCGAGATGCGATTCAGAGTGACTGGGCTGATCGACCCACTACGGAACAGATGCTGGTGAAGTGGAGGGATAATCTGGATCTAGAGTGAATGGACCTACATGGTACTTGTTCAATTTCCTGTGGTCGTGACAGATCACTGTATGATTTGTTTTGTGCTTTGTAACTCATGCGTAAAGCGCGTGAAAAGATGTGTATATATTATAATACGGTACGAAGACCAGGTTGCCCTTGTCCACGCTCTTCAAGTACCAGTCAACAAGGGAACCACGGGGTTGTGAGGGTTCCATTTTTGGGTATTTTTCAGTACGAACCATTTCTCTCGTGTTGACTGGTTCTTGTATGCAGGGACCAAAACCTGTCTACCCCATCTTCATGTGATAAACCTTTGCTTTTCGCAACTCGAATGTTTTTTGCCGCTGTAAGGTTGAACCAAGGCGATGGATCAATGCGGGTGCACCGGTGCTTCCAAAATGTATGAACTAGGATACGTTACCAGTAAATGGGCCCAACAAATCAATACCATGTGAAGGCCAGGAACTTCATACGGTAATGCACCATTCCCGCATCAGAAACAATAGTAGTGCACTTTTGGCGCGTATAGTAGTTTTAGTGATGAGCTGAAAGCCCAGAAGTTCTTGGATTGAAACTGTACAAATACATTAACGAAAATCACATCTGGCTTGTAACCCTGTACTCAGGGTAGGTTTGTTGCGCTCCAGTTTCGACTAGTGGTGTAATGAATATACATTCATTACTGTAGAGGCTGCTCCTAGCGAGGACAGCCCGAGCACTTCGCATCAGGAAGGTTCGGCCTACACTTTCGAACCGAACCAGCGCCGAGTCGCCCCGCACCAATCGCGACACATCCAACCCTCGCACGTCACGAGTTTCTCGCCTAGCACGATTTTGACCCTATAAATGCATGCTCCTTTATCATTCTTGATCATTCTGTATCGCCCCGCACCAATCGCGACACATCCAACCCTCGCACGTCACGAGTTTCTCGCCTAGCACGATTTTGACCCTATAAATGCATGCTCCTTTATCATTCTTGATCATTCTGTAATCACGTCTTCTTTATAAAGTCTTCCGCGCACTCTGTCTAGTAAAACTCATAACACTTGGTATCAGAGCTACTTTCCTAGCTTCCCCGTTTTTTAGAGTGTATTACCCCTCGGGGGGGGGGGGGATAGGGAAGGATGCCGTGGTGACAGGAGCAGCGCAGTAGCCGGCCAGGAGAACGGATAGTTGCTCCTAGCGGCCATGTTTTTTACGGGCGCTCCTGCTGCACCGACGGATCCTTGCCCTCGACGGTCAAGATCGACCGTGGCCTCCCTCCCCCCCGGGCGGCGACAGCTTTTGCTGTCGTCGCAATTAATGCGTGCGTAAGTTGCGTGCGTTTTCGTCAACTTCGGAGTAATTTTGTGTGGCAGATGACGTCGCCAGGATTGAAGTCACTGCACGTCCGAAGTTGTCGGGGGCACACGTGGTGCGAGTTGACATCTGCATGTGGTCGTCAACTGCGCACGAAGATTTCGGAGTTAATGCGTGCAGCAAGTGGCATCGGGCGACTTCGTCACGTTGCGCACGAGATTTTTAGAGGTCTTCGGCACGTGGCGATCGTGGTCACTGTGCGCGAAGATTTCGGGTAGCAGCACGTGGAAAACGACTGCTGTGCGAGCAGCCAGGCGCATGGTGATTTGCGTCAGAAAATGCAACGGCGCGGAGTGACGGCGTGACGACTGCCCGAAGAAAGCGGGGGTCTACCGTCGTCCAGCCCGGGTGTGGCCGGTGTGGCTACAGGAGGGTGCGTCGTTGGCGTTTTCGGCAGGAGCGGCACAGTGTGGGACGGAAGTCATTTTCAAACCACCGAAAAGTGCGGAAAAGGCCGCCTACGACTAGACTGTTTTCGTTAGGGTCACTTCTGCGCCTGCAACAACGTCGGCCGAAATTTTCGGAGCAACAGCAGCAGCCGACACTGTACTTCAGGCGGCACAGGTTCCCCCTGATCAAGGGAAGTTGTGCTGCAGATGGGGCAGTACACCGACGGGACAGCGTTTTGGCGCAGCGTCTAGACACGCGAATTTCGCCTAGTCTACCGGCTACAATAAACGGAGTTGCGACAAATACGGGTCTGGCGAGAGAAACGGATTTCGAGCTTCAGGAGGGGAGAAAACGACCTACTGCGACGACTTTTTGCTGAGGCCGAGTTTTGCGGCTAAGCGGCGGTAGCAGAAGGAGCTCCCTACCGGCCAAAGTCCACCGACGTTTCGCATACCCCACGCCCAGAAAAGCCTCAAAGGCAATTCGTAAGTCCTGTTGGCTACTGGATACAAAGGTGGGGCCCTGTGTTTAGCCCTGTGCTGGTTAGAAAGGCGCGGGTGACGCTGGTTCGACGGCAGGGCGTTCAAGAAAAAACTTCAAGGATGCGGCACTGTTCGGCCCCGACAAAAACGGACCATCGGCGACAGTTACCCTGCCGAAAAAAGTCGGGACCGAAGACATTGTGGCAGCTGTCGGCGTTTCTCCAACTTCAACGGTCTACCCAACGGCGGTGTAGCAGCGAAGGAGGAGTTCCCGAAGTTGCGGAGTTTTAAGGCGATAGGCACGGTGGGCAGCAAAGCGGCCGGCTGAGAGTTTGATATGATAAACTCGCTCCGACTACGATTGCGTTCGCGCCTTCATCGAACGCCAGAAAAATCGCGGGACAACACGAAGAATACCTCATCCGACAAAAGCGGACGCTGGGTGAACAACGGCAAGCGAAATTGTCGGGGGGTGAAAATATAAAAAGGAGGGAAAGTTGTGGGTGCCGTTTCAAGCAACTTGAGTGATAGGCGGAGCCCGTACACCACTCCACCGCGAATTTCGGAGTCTATTCGGTAGACCCCCGAAAGGGTTTGATATCGTTACATGGAGGCGCGGCGAGCGGTGTATCGCCAAGGATGCTTGGGATTTGCTAAGTAATTCCGACAGGTACGAAGATGGGTGAACGTCGGAGTACCAGGGTTAACGGCGGAAATGTTGGGGCTACAAGGCAGAAAATACTTCGGGGCTCTATTCCTCAACCACGATTTCGGGTGCAGTTTTGACGGTGGGAGACGGGTGAACGTCTGCTCGCCAGCTGTTTAAGCGTTTTTTTCGGTGCACTTCGAAGCAGTCTGGGGGAGCTCTGCTGCGAGATCTGCGGCGTTGATGCGCGCTAGGGTCCGTGAAAGTCGGTCCCGGAAGACCCATAAGTACTGGGTTCCACGCCGAAAAAGCACCTCTTGTGGGTGGATGGCTCGGGTGGTTAACCGCACGAAAAAAATGGTGACCGGGTGGGCGTGCTAGAAACACCGGTTCTTTCGGGGGGCAACCTGCAGGCGAAAAAGATTTTACGTGGTGTGCAGATTTCCGACACTTACGGGTTTTCAGCAGCAGTACTGGGGATGGGTCTTAACTGAGTTCGGCAGAAACTGTCAACGGTTCCGTGCGAACGGCGGGGATGCAGAGGCGCTGGGTTAAGCGCGCAAAACCGACGGGAACAAGTTTGGCAGCTGATTCCGACTCCGCTCGGGGGTACCAGCCGCAACACGAGGGAAAATTTTGCAACAGGTGGGGGGAGAAGGCGACAGCTGTTTTCGTCCCTGCCCGGAGTTTTTCGGCGAGTAACGACAACACCGACAATGCAGCTGACGTCATCGGCAGTTCGAGTTCAACTTTGAAAAAAATATTGCACCCGGTCAGGGGGAAGAGCAGCAGCTGTTTTCGTCCCTGCCCGGGAGTTTTCGGAGCAACGCGACAAGGGCCTCGGCGTGTCTGGACAAGACTGCCGAGGGCGCCGACAGTTGGAACAGTTACAGCGAGGATTTTCGCCACTGCAACAAGACAAATAGCAGCATTTTCGGGACTGCAGCAGCTGACAACCAAAGATTCTGCAGCAGCAGGGTGATGCGATGCTGCCACGCGAGATGGCAGTCACGAGAGATGCTGCAGCAGCAGTCGCAACTACAAGACAAGAAAATTGTTTTCTGCAGGAAATTTTATTTTCCAAGGTTTTCAAGTCCCGGTGCTCAACGCCTTTACCCTCTAAAAGGGACTTCGCGGGTTAAACTGAGGAATTCTAACAGGCCACGACAATGATTTTCGCCACCAGCTACTTTTCGACAGTGCAGCTGCTAACACTTCGACGGGGTTCATAACACTTGGTGATTTTTTACGACACTTGGCGGCGGGGTTGTTGACGATTTCTGCCCGCGCAGCTATACTCCACTGGGGATCTACCTTTCTTTTCAAGGGGGGGAGAAAAGGATATTTTCGCACGGTACTTGTCAGTTTTCTGACAGCTTCGTCTGACAATCTCGCACGACCGACGCTTGCGATGGCTTCATCGACATCGACGATTCCCGATTCACTGACATCTGACAGCGTGTCAGAACTCCCGCCAGCATCGCCAGCGTCACCACCGCCCGATCGACACCAACGGCTGACATCCCAACCATTTCAAAATTCGCCTGGTCAACTCGTCAGCTACGCGTCAGCACGAAAGTCAACGGCCTTCTACACCATCGGATCAGTTTCAACCGAGATCGGCAGTTTTCACGCTAGTGCAAGACTCGGCTTCGTGTAATGAATATACATTCATTACTGTAGAGGCTGCTCCTAGCGAGGACAGCCCGAGCACTTCGCATCAGGAAGGTTCGGCCTACACTTTCGAACCGAACCAGCACCGAGTCGCCCCGCACCAATCGCGACACATCCAACCCTCGCACGTTACGAGTTTCTCGCCTAGCACGATTTCGACCCTATAAATGCATGCTCCTTTATCATTCTTGATCATTCTGTAATCACGTCTTCTTTATAAAGTCTTCCGCGCACTCTGTCTAGTAAAACTCATAACAAAGTGGCCTCACACACCGAACAAAACAAGGGAAGAAGGCCATCCAGCAGTTTTAGAAAAGTTACACATGTAACCTGTTAGAGTGAGGATCTTTGGATAGGATAGGAAGTGCTCTGAGAGAATTGGTAGCGGAAGTCTTGGTAGGAACCCTTGATCATAGTGAATGTAAATGAAAAGGTTGATTGATTGATAGAATACAAGCAAGA